CTTACCAGCCTGGGTCCCAACTGCAATCAGAAAACCCCAACTCTCGAGATTGCTGTAGCCATTTGCCATCTAGTGGACAATGGAAATCTCACTCCRTGCTTGGCTCAAGTAGAAAGAAATATATATACCAGGATTGGAGTGTATTCCTTGGGAATCTGGTCTGCTTCATAGGCCAAGACATTCACTTGTTTTAAATAAATAATGGTGCAAGACCAGCTCACCTTCTGATAATTTATAATTGGAATATTTAAGATCAGGTCCCTTGATTAAAACTGGAGTATGGAATTTGTCCTCTTTTCCTCTTGCACGCTGGTCTTGCTGTGTTGTTCAGTGCTCCACCTCAGCAGTTTGTGGTTACACACACACACTCCAGGGGCAAATTTTTGCCTTCTAAAATGGTTGATTTTTTTTCCTCTCATGACTGCACCTTATTAGCACAAAAGGRTGGGAAGACCCAGCAGATGAGGACATCCAGTCACATCTTTGGCCTGCCTAGACCACACAATTTCTATTTTATTTAGCAAGCTTGATTTGTAAGTCTGGCTTAATTTTTCTCTCCTACTGGCAATTCTTCCTATAAGGRAAAACTTACCAGTGTTAATAACTGTCCCTTTTCATGACTTGATGCAAACTGGAAAACTTGTTTTCACATGTCAAGATACATGAAAATCTGCCATTACTCCCAATTTAAGCAGCTTCTTTCATTTAAAAGGTATTTCTCAACAGGGTAAGAGTTTCCACATTGATTTCTGTTTTTGAAATRATCACAGGTGATGCAGTCATAGCTTGACCTCAGTAAATTGTCTTGTACATTGGGAAATTCAGAGAGCTGGGAGGTTGCAGGGAGAATGGGCTCRGTGCTAAAAGCATCTCAGACTAATGTGCAGCACAGACAACTGGAAATTTTATGTCCTTGGCAGCCAGGGAGCACAGAGGTTCCCTGCCCAGGGGGATCAGGAAAGTTGAGCTGCACAGAAGTGAAGATGTGACCAGAGTGGGCTAATCCTGCCTGCCCTGAATGCCTGACGTGTTTCAGCTGCCTGTCAGTGGCATCCAACGATACCATGGCYTGGATTCCAGGAATGCCTTCAAACACCTTTCAGGCTTTTAAAAAAAGATGGGAGCAAACAATCAGCATTATCTTGACATTCCAGCCAGGAATAAATATTGTTTTAATTTACAAAATCTGCCAATGCACACACACACAGATATTCACTCAGGCACACCCAGACACGCTCCGACAGAGCTCTCTAGTGTGTCATTCCAACTTGAAATATTCTGTGATGTGTGATCTKCCATATAAAATAAATTCCCCACTTTTTATGGGATAAGCCTGGCTGAGAAGCTAGATAAACTACCAGAATATGCTTGGTGRAGAGGAGCTCTTGGAAAGATCAGGYAACTTTCAAGATAATGMGTCRTATCCTGACACTCTCCYTCTCTAGACTCTTCCAGCTGATGTGTTTTCAGGATTTAAGTTCGTGCACTGGCTTCTTTTTCATTTTAGTGACAGCTCTGGTGAGATGAGGGCAGCCTTGCCCCCTCTCCTGGTACAGATTCCCCAGGGCTCTGCAGTTTGCCTGGTGTTAACGCTGTGCTTGATGCCAACAAGTTCCACCTTATCCACCTGCACCTTGACCTTGGGCGGGTATGGGGACGAGCCCTGGGCTTTGTGCACTGAGAACACAACTCCACCATTGTTCCTGAGATTGGCTGCAGGACTGTGACYCTCTGAGGGTGCCTCCCATGGAAATCACTGGGGATTTTCCATRCATTCCATGGGAAAATCTCATGGATCACAATGCAAAAAGATCCTCTACCAACAAACGACTCACAAAGCTACTGATACCTAACAAGCTCTAGGTCAGCAGATATTTTGTATTAGATAGAGCATGTCTAAGTTAACTGATTAATAAAATTAAAGGTTTAATATGTTAATATGCTCAGCTTTGGGCCTTTTACAACAACAAGGACAYAGAGGRGCYGGAGCATGTACAGAGATRGGAATGGAGCTGGGGAAGGGTCTGGAGCCCCAGGAGTRGCTGAGGGATCTGGGAAAGGRGCTCAGCCTGGAGSMAAGGAGSCTCTGGGGGAACCTTGTGGCTCWGCACAACTCCCWGACAGGAGGGGACAGCCGGGGGGTCGGGCTCTGCTCCCAGGGAACAGGGACAGGACACAGCCTCAAGCTGTGCCAGGGGAGGGTCAGRTTGGATATTGGGGAAATTTCTTCCATGCAAAGGTTGTAAAGCCCTGGCACAGCTACCCGGGGCAGTGGTGGAGTCCCCATCCCTGGAAGTGCTAAAAAGATGTGTGGATGTGGCTCTTGGAGACATGGTTGAATTGTGAACATGGCGGTGGTGGTGGGTTGATGGTTGAACCTGATGATCTTAAAGGCCTTTTTTCAACCTTAACAATCCTATAATTCTGTGATTTCCAKCATATCATTCAGTGCAAACCCTTTGCTGACAGAGGGTGGATTTAAAGATTGACATTTTCAGATTGCAATTATTTCAGGCAACAACTGGGTCTGATCTTCAGGAGCACTTTACCTRTTGCTCGTGTTTACCTCCTTGGTCTTTCCCTGTAGTCCAGTAATAACACCAAGCACCTGCAAGATAAGAAAAATAGATTGATTATAGACTAAGACAGGTACATAAAGCATATTATAAACTGTGGCCTAGTCAACAAAGATTGAAATGGCAGGAAATAGCAAGGGCAAATACAGTATCAGTAAATAACATATCAATCTTCTTTCTGCATAAATCTTTTTCTCTGGTTTGTTCAGAGCTGGCTGTACATTCCTGTTTGCCCTGTAATTTGTTATGTTAAATGGAGAATAAATTTCTTTTGCTCTGCAGCCTTTTCTRGCAGGATCTTTGAGGTTGTTGGTGATACCAACACGTTGAGGCTCAAGGGTTGTACATTCAGAGCTGTAATTTGCTGATCTGTGTGCTCTTGTGGAAGCAGAATATCCTCTGGAAAACTGGGGGAATCAGAGCAGGGCCATATGGGTTGRGTAGTTTGTAATTCTTCCTGTGTTTCCTTGTCTCTTTGTTGGCAGCTCTACCCCAAAAGGTGCAGCAGCCCCACAACAGATTTGCCCCTGCTGCATTCAGAAATTTTCCATGAGCTGGACACCAGCACTCGAGGGGCTGTGAGAGTAGATGGAGAGCTGAAGTTTTATTTACCAAACAACAAATACAGAGGTCAAAATGCTAATATAACATATATGTATATAAATATATTCCTCACAGACCTGACTGATACAATGAGACTATTAAAGCTAGAAAAAATATTCTRCCATCTGTGAGTACAGGAAGGGCTGGAATGCTACCTCCCTAACTCAAARTTAATTGGCAGTTAATGAATTATTTAGGCTTGTTTCAGGGTCCACAAATCATAGAACAAGTGTTCCTGATTTTAATAAACAAAGTTTGACCATCCAAAAACATTTTTTGGATCACCAAGAACCTTCAGCCTGTGGTGATTGAAATTAATCTAAAAGAACAGATTCACCATGCGATAAAATGCCCTTTTATTAAATAGCAGATGGTTTGACCAGGAGTCTGATTTGAAAACAACAAACTGCAGACCTGGGGCCACTTTKCTCCAAAGGAATGCCTTGCTCTCTGGCAGCCATTCAAGGCTCCAATAAACAGTAAACATTCAGTCTTCATCCCCAAAATACACACCCCTTCCAAGCCGTGGTGAGAAGGATGTGAGAGWTCAACCATTCCCTGGGGTGTGCAGCAGAGCAGGTGGCACCAGCACTGCCCCACTGCCCCATCATGAAMTGTATTTTCATCAGCTCCTGACACAAAGCCCTCTCCAGGGTGTGTGGGGCACTCAGCAAGTGCTCACAGCTCTTTGTGCCCTGACATTGTGTGAAAGGTAAAAAACTTTACTCCAAACTTGTCGTGGGTTTAAAACCTGATTTTTCCCAKTTCRAGTCACAGCACCAAAAATGTCGTGGTTTGGACTGTGCTGAAAGCCAAAAGCACTGCACCCATGATGTTCCYTCCCTTCCCCCCACCAGAAAGGGAGAAGGGAGAGCAAAAGCCCAATTAACACGAAAATTTATAGCTTTCAGATAACATAACGTAATTGTGAGAAAGATACGTATGTGCTCCAGAGAATGGTCAGACAGGCTGGATAACTTAAGTTGCAACACAATACGTCATCACAGAGGTGTAACCAACCTGWGCAATTGGCCCAGGCCTGACCAGCAGCCTGTCCATCAACCTCAGAGCCATRATGGATTGGCTCTAAAACACAGGGGGTAGGGCTCCTTTTGCTGGMGAAGAAGGAGAAAGCTTCTAGAACTTCCTCACAGGAGCCATCTTTGTGGTTTCTTGGTCCCATCCCCCCACCACCAAAAATCGGACCAAGTAAAACCATGACAAAACTACAAATTCTGGGGAATTTGGGACAGTGTCCTCTATTCAGGCTTGGAAAATGCCCAGAACAAAAATCTCTCTGACCTCCTGCACTTRCTCCAATTGCTACACATTTCCACTGTCCCTGCAGAATTCAAGCTGCTTTGCAAATGTTGGTAATGTGGATCTGCTCTCTCCCTTTATCTCCACCCCCTGTTTGCTCCCTCTCCCCAGCCACTCTACATAAAGTGAGGCTGTGCCTGGATGCTGATGCCAAAGTTAAGTTCTCCACTGGAAAAATCTATTTTGTTTCTGTTTCTTCACTTTATGAAGAATAAACCAATGCCTGGGCCATGTTGCCRCCCCAGCATAGGAATGGACTAAAGCAAAATAAAAGGCCTGTGGTAATGGTAATTGCGTTCTGATTTTGGATGGAAAAAATGGACAAAGCAATTTATTTATTTATTAAAGCATTATCTTTATTTGTATATCATAGGCTTGTTATACATCAAAGTTTTGAACAGGCATGTTGAGCCTTGTGCCCAAGTTCTGTTCCAGCTAGAAAACATGGTTACCATCACTAAAACATGCAAAGAAATAAGGCATTTCCTTGCAAAAGAAATGTCAATAATCAGTTGCAATGAGTTCTTCACAGATTTTAAGGCCCAAAATGCTTGGAATTCCAGCACTAGCACAGCCATCATCATTCATTGGTTCTAAAAAAAAACCAAAAAACCAAGGAAATGAGCACAGTATCAATATTTCATTATAAGGTGAGATCCCTGTATCCATCTGGGGAAAGTATTAAATACACAAATCTCAATCCCCAGTTATGGCCCTATTCAAGGTCTCTCTTCATCTCAAAACTGTACAAAACATTTGTGGTGTAACTCAGTGGGAAGAAATGTCTGTACAGCTCCAAGGTACCACGAGGATTTAGGTTAAAACGGTAGGAAGGTGCCCTAGGACAGAACCACAGTGCCTGGATTTGTAACTTACGTTCAGTGGCTACGAGTTGGTAGAGAGGCAGCCCTGTGCAGAGCTTTTCAATGTGTTTGCCATAGATAATCCAGTCTTTCAAATGCCCCATCCTGGAAGTGCCAGCTTGGAACTGAGTCCACACATTATCCGGAGAGTATACATCCCTCATGGTCTGAAAAGAAAAGGTTAGACACTACTAAAAATGTAGCTTTAGCTTCAGTCTACTGGGACACCCTTAGAGAAGACTCCCACAACTAAAATCACCTTCCTTTGCCTCACAAAAAACATTAGCTAAAGAGGCCTCATGGTTAAAAACAAACAATCAATCTATTCAGTTACTAGTAACTATTCTAGTAAAATTCACTAGATACTAATTTTACCAACACAGCAAACCTGAGCTATATTGCTGCCATGATAAGTTATGTTAATTGGCAGCAAGTTTTGCTGTAAATGTGCTACTGGACTGGCACAAAATGGGCCAGAGCTCCAGTTCACCTCCAGGYAATACTTCCAGTCTCTTTCTGAAACCTCAGCCTTAATAGAGAAGTCAAAATGTGGTCAAAGTGAATTGATCTCTATATTCTGTTCTGAAAAAAAATCAAGCTATGTCAAAGTCAAAATATAAGCAGAACAATGAGGGAAAATTTAACTGAACTCATATTGTGATCACCTCAAAACAGTCAAATTACACCAGTTCCAAGGACAGGGGATTACACAGCTTGAGCCACCTCAACAACCCCCTGTAAAACTGCACAGGGGCCATGATGGTTCATTGTCTTAGAGGAATGTTGTGCATGATATTCTCTTGAAGCTGTATCTTGTCAGAACAGCTCTGTCATTCTTAAGGCAGCACAAGTAATTCCTGAGCTGTTTTAGGGGCAGARTGGAGGGGCCCCCTCACACCATATTGCTTCTGTCCAGCCTTCCTTGCCCGCAGCAAAGGGTTCCCCACAGTCACCTGTCTCTCAAAAGCCAGACGTCCAATCTCTTCCAGCTCTGGGATGTATTCCTTCTTTATTTTCATGATAAAGCAGGCATTTCGTGAAAATAACTTGGTTGCAATATACCCCTGTGATGGAAAGAGTTAAGGTAAATAATTAGAAATGGCTCACATTGACATTAATTGATGCTCTCCACTCTTTGGGGCAATCTGGAAGAAACAWGAAGTGTCTGCAGAGGCTACTGCTGGGGAATGACTGCATTTCCATTGTMTTTTCCATTTCCATTTCTTTGGGGAATGGAATCAGCCAGTCTTGGTGCCTGTCCCTAAGACTGTAAGAATCATTTCTGACAGACTTCTGCTACCCATGAGTGCTGGCAGCCCATCCTCACCTTCAGCCCTATGGAGGTTCAGTCACCTTCTTCTCACTTCCAGAAATTGCCACCACAGGTTTCATTACAAGTCTTTTAAACTGACCTATTGTATGGATCAAAAAAGGAGATGGCCAAGGAAGAGGAAAGGTGATGGGAGTCTTCAACGAAAGTGTTCTGAGACAAGATGTGGTGAGAACACACTAAAATAATTTATGATCCTAAAAACTTCCTCAGGGATTAATTTGAGGCAGATTCTTTGATTTACTCACACGTGAGTAGTCAAAAATGGTATCAGAGGAGTACACGCCAGAGCGGACATGGACATCGACGATGCTCTCCTCATTGTGGATGGTCATTGTCCCAGTGACATAGTTGCTGACAGGATCTCGCAGGACAAAGGACTTTGGTGAAAAGCACAAAATCATTGTTCATCATCTGGCTTCCATCTTTAGCAAATGCAACAACCCCCAGTGCTTTCTGCTCTACATAAATACAAAATCCCTTAAATACCCTTGAGCAGTCTCTTGCAGAGGCTCTTGAGGTGGGGATCAGTTATGAAACAGGCCCTCTTGCAGGCTGAGGAAAAACTGCAAGGGGCATCCCAATCATTTTGGCAGCAGCAGGGACTGGCAGAAGACTGCACCAGTCTCCAAGTGTTTGGTTGAGCTAAGGGCATATCTGTTCCCCCTGACTTCTTATTACCTTTCACCTGCACAGAACCATCTCTTTGGCTTCATTGTCACCTCTAGCAGAAGCTCWTTTGCTCTACCCTTGGAAATAAGCACCTTATTAGTTTTAGTTTTTTCAATGGTTTTCTTCCTGTTCTATTCTTCCCKTGCAGGGATCAAACACATTTTAAATGCTCATGTGAAGGACAAAGCTCATCACTCTACTTACATCCAATGCAGAAGTCTGAGCCCAAAAGGTTCCCAGGCAAATAAGGACTACAGCCTATGAAAAAAGAAATCAGAATTCTCACTCAGCAGAAACACCAGGCAGTGCCATAAAAAACCCAGTCCATGAACTGAAGGAAGAAGCTATAGCATCAGTTTGAAAAGTTACCCACTTAGCATGTATATTAATTGAAAACAACTACAATTCCTCACAGCATTGTAAAGTTTTTGCTGTCCAGCTCTCTTTTGCCTGTAACTGGAAAAGCAGAATAACTTAACCATTACACTTCTGCAGTTTTCAGAAGTCTCTCCTTGATGCCATGTTACTTCTTGATTTGCCTCTACAACTGCAATTATTAAATTGTAACTAATACCCCCTTCTGAACTGTAACCAATTCTGCATTCTTTGCTCAAACGAGGCTTCCACTGACTTTGCTGACCCCASAAAAGGAAGTTTCCCTCTGAACCACCCAAAGAAGCGACACACAGATCATATTATTGTACCACTGTATTGTACCACTTACTTGAGCATCTTCTTCTCTATYCCTTTGTTTTTAAAAATGAAGAACTTACAGCATTAAAAGTTCAACAGAAATGGAGATACTTACAAATCTCTTCATTTTTCTTTCAGATGGGAGCAAGAGGCTGCAGAAGGTRAGAACACAAGAAAATCCCAGAGTCCTTCAACTTTTATATCTTGCTGGAGGTGTGGGAAACACTTGACAGAACTTTCCTTCATGACTTGAACAAGTCCATATCTACRTGTCGTAAGCCTCCTATCTGAATTTTGGGTTGGCACAGATAACCTGACCCTGATATATTTAAAGCACTCAGTAAGTCTCAGTAAATCAATCACTACAAATGGCTATTATTCACTGGTTTAAACTTCAGTCTTGCTAGTTCAAATTTTTTAAATATTTAACAGGATATTATCCAGAATTAAATGACATTGGGAATAACCCTGCTATTCATTCATAGAAATTGCATTTTGTCTTCTGAAATACAATCAGTAACAGCCTGACTGATAGTCTGCAGAGAAATATTGGAAAGAAACACCTGTGTCATGGTGGCCTCCATGTCAGCCAACAAACAGACCAATTCTCCAGCCATTTCTTTCATWGAATATATTGGATGGGCCTTGAGCAACCTGATAGTGAATGGCATCCCTGCCCATGGCAGGGGATTGGAAGTGGATGATCTTTAAGGTCCCTTCCAACCCAAACAATTGTGGGATTCCCTGATTGTATTTTATGTGCAGGGACTCTTAACAAGAAGTGCTGTTCATTTTTGATTAGTTATCGTGATGAACAGAGCATGTGCATTGAAATTTATGACAGGATTGCGAACAACAGCTGTGCTTCACTAGACAACCTGGGGAATTTGTGGCCTCCTCAGTAGACAGAGGCTCTGTGGTGCTCACAAGGTCACAGACAAAAGAAGCAGRATGGGGATTCCCCCTTTGAAGCTGCCACTGATTTCTGCATTTTATGAAAATGCCACTGACCACAATATTGCCATGAGAATGTTCTCCAGTGTTCTCTGGTGACTTTGACCTTGCCTGGACTCCTCCTCATCCGTTGTTCTGCACCAGCCAGCATTGGGAACAGGATGAATCATACTCTGTTTTCTATTAGAAGGTCATAATCAAAGCTGGTTTCCTCCTAATAAAACAAGAACTCAAATTAACAGCAAACACATTCTGTAATTTCTCTTATCGGAAAAAAGGTGAAGGAGATTGTACAGAAATCTCTCTCAACAAACAGGCCTCAATGGAAAAAAAAAAAGGAAATTGCACACATTTCTCTATGCCACCTAAGTCCACATGAGAAAAGGTTATCTCAAGTGTAACAATGCTGTGCTGCTAAGCAATATATCAGAAAACACATAAACAGATATTACATTCTGATAAACMCGGCTAGACTAATTAGGTTAATGCTGCACTCAAAGCCAGCTCTGTCCCTTCTTCTCAAAAGATTCTTTGTTTTCAAGATGACAGGTATGTCAAAAATACTCAGGGTAGATTTTGACAGTCAAGTAAGTATTG